CACACACACACACACACACACGTGTCAAAGTCTCTCTCTCTCTCTCTCTCTCTCTCTCTCTCTCTCTCTCTCTCTCTCTCTCTCTCTCTCTCTCTCAGACACACACACACACAGTGTCACACACAATTGTGGACATGCTGATCTCATTCGGAATCAGTGTCGCAGCCCTCATCCTCATATGGCTGTTCGCTGCAGTCAGCTGATTCCGGGTCATCCTCCACGACTGTCTTGCACTTGAGGCGCTGTTTCTTTTTTTTAACCGGTGTAGTGGCCGTGTCGGTCTTCTGCTTTCGCGGTCCGCCACGAGGACGTTTCGGCTGTGCAGGAGCGTCCTGTGATGGCTCCTTTCTCTTCCTGCCCACTCGGCTCACCCACAGGTTGTCATGCTGGACATCCTCCCTCATTGCGGGGAATTCCGGTATCTTCTCCTCGGACTCCGGAAACTCCGCTGGTCGGGGCCTGCGTGTGTAGACTGTTGTCGCTGTGGGATTGGGCTCGTCTTCGCGGGCCTTATCGACCTCGCCGTGCTGTATCTTCTGCTGCGCCAATCTTTCCCCCTCCTCTTCCTGCTGCATTTCCTCTTCCTCCCCGCCTTGCACCGTGCCTTCCTCTTCTTCTTGGTCCTCCATCTCCTCTCCCTCCCGTGGTTGCACCATGCCCTCCTCCTTTTCTTCCTGTTCCATGTAATCTCCCACCTCAGCCTGGTGCTCCTCCTCCTCCTCTTCTCCCTCTTCCTCAACCTCCAATGCCAGATTGATCTGCTGTTGGTGCTCCCTGGCTTGTTTGAGACCTCTCTCGATCTCTCTCCGAGTCGGGATAGCTGCACGGCGGGCCTCCTCCTCCATCATACGTTTGTTGACGAGTTCGGTCTCCCGGTCAGCCATAGCCTTGGCACGGTTCGCATCCTCCGCATCTTCGTTTACCCTCGCTTCCAGCAACGTCTCGACATCCGTGTCTAGCCATGCGAACTCGACATCAGATTGTGGATTGTACAGTGCAGTTTCCCTTACCACAGGCTCCATCGCTGCCGGATGTGACTCTTCTCTGCGTTGTCGTCCGGTCTGCCTCCTTCCGACGTACGTCGTGCCTGGGACGGACAGCTTCGGTCGTAGCTCGAAATGGGAGTCATCGTCGTCATCCTCTTAGCTGCCACTTGAGTCCTCCGACAATCCGCACTTCCCCTTCCACAGCTCGTCATCCAAATCACTGTCATTCGTGAGCTCTTCGTCCTCGTCCTCGAGATTTTTTGGAACCCTTCCCTTCGGAGTCTTTGTGAGCCTCCGTTCCCATACAAGTTCCTCCTCTGTCTTCTCAGCCTCATCCTCGGGCCCCTTCGACACCGATCCATCGTTCTCTTCAGGCTCTGGGGCGGGCTCGACGAAGTCACACCACAAGTCTACAAATTCGTTGTTCTTAGTCTCCGGAACACGCACACGCAGTAGCTGCATGTTCCAGTGTATGTACAATAGCTTCGCCAAGCTTTCTGGCGACAACGTGTTGCTCCGTTTGGAATGGATGAAGTCCATGGAAGCCCAGTTCCTCTTCGTCGGCGATGCGGTGCTCCACATGCCCATAACCTTTATCGCAATCTTCTGCAATTCGGGAACGTCGCTGCCGTGTGCTGCCCACCATTCTGACGGTGTCTTCTTGTCAACATTTGCCTTCGCTGTGGGGTCCCACATCTTCGTGTCATTCCTTTTCAGACCGTTCCTTGTAGGTTTGTTGTGGAACTCATTCAAGTCACTTCAAATGTCAAGGTGCGCTTGCCCTTTCCATTCACCTCCAACCTTCCTCGAGAGAAAGCGCATGGCATTCTGCACAAGCGCACTGTCTTGGTCATGCAACCACCTCGGTTCTCTCCTGCGCGGGTCCAAAAGAAAGGTTGTTGCGTGGACGGGTTGCTGCATCATCTTAATGCGATCTTTAACTTTCTCCATCACACTCACCCGATGCTCCACCATAAGAACGACATGGCTAAGTTTCCTCTCTATCATGTTGCATACTCGACAAGGTTTGTGGGACCGGTACCATCCTGATCCATCCGCCTCAAGAGGCTGAACACGAGCTCCATCACCTCAACCACCTTGTTCAACCCCGTCTGTACACCAGATCCGATCTGGCCCTCAACTTCGACGTGGACCATTGGATCGCATTCCACTTAACTGCATTCCGACTGTTGACCATGTCCTTCAACACCGCCCTCCTGTCGTATATCCTCTCTAACATTTGGTAGACTGACCCGAAGCGCACCTCCGTGGGCCGAAGAAGAGACAGCGAATCGTCCAGTGTCATCATCAAACTGCTTGTGTTGTGGTGATTTCTGATGAACTTGACGATTGTGTGGCCCCTCTTAACGGTGTGCTTCACCCAATCGAGTTTGCTGAGGTCGCGCAAGAGAAGGCTGCAGCAATGCGCAGCGCAAGGAACCCACGGAATCCTTGCTACCTCCTTGTCCGTTCATCGCTCCAGGAGTTGAGCCGCCCTTTTGTTGACCTCCGCGTTGTCAGTGCAAATCGCATTGATTCGACGCAGTCCGATTTCCCTCATGATCTGCTCCCAAAGTTTCGCCAATGCAGGTCCGGTCTTCTTCCTTCCGGACATTTACACCTTCGCCACCAAAACCGCCCCATCCACCCCAGTTGCCAAGAAGTTCATCACGGGCCGCTCCCGACAATCACTCGATCCGTCTGTGATGAAAGTACACCCGCTCACATCCCAACAAGTCGTCAACGGCTCCACCGTCTTCTGCACTCGCATGTACACAATTTCCAACATGACGGTCCTCATGTGGTTAAAGGAGGGCAGTTTCACCTACGGTCCTGACTTTGCCACCTGCAGGTACACTTCGTGGAGTTTCTAGGTGGTTTCGAAGTTCAGGAAGTTGAACGGGATCCCAGCACGAAACATGGCCTCCGCCTATGCAATGTCCAGTTTCTTCTGCGCATCGTCGTCCACCCACCTCCTTATTGTTGACTGCTGCAATGAGGACAGCCGTGTGTTCGACCCCGACGCCTCACCCCCTGCCGCCTCCAAAGCATTCTCCTTGTGCAAATCCCTTGCATCACATGGAGGAGCAGCCCTGCCCGCAGTGGCGGTGGCTGTGGCTCAGCCGCTCAAGGTATGAGGGAACTTCAACCACCTCGTCGGCCTTCTCCGTCTGATCGACCCCCCCTTCCGGAATCCCGTGCAGCTGCCTAAAATTCTTCAGCAAGTACCGCGTATTCTTATCACCCGATAGCACTTTCCCCCCGGAGTTGACGAGCTCATTCACCATTTCCCCTGTGCGCGATGGACACGACTTCTGCGTCTTCAGGTAATGTTCCACCGCTCTTGAGTTTGTGCCCCTCCAAATCTGCATGCACAACCGACACCTCACCCAATACGCGCCTCTCCCTTCCTCCCCGGCTTCCTGACCCTGTTTTGCGTACTTCCACACAGGCTTCTCTCTCTGCAACTTGTCCTACCTCACCTTGTCTTGTGGAACGAACAGCGAAGGGTCCATTGCAGGCGTGGGGTCTTTGGAGGTCACTGTGGATGTGGGTGTAGCGGAGGTGCTTGCAACGTTTTCTTTTCCTTTTTCTGCTGCCGTTTTGTGCCTCCTCCGTTCAGAACCGCCACTCCCCCCTCCAATGTCGCTGGCACCGCCCGCCATAGTGTCATGGAAGTAGAGGATGCAAGGACAACCAGCAAAGGAAAAACCAAGTTCAAATATCGGAAGAAGAAGAAGAAGAAGAAGAAGACTAAGAGGGAGAAGAAAAAGAAGAAGAAGAAGAAGAAGAAGAAGAAGAAGAAGAAGAAGAAGA